GGATTAGGGTTTAGGGTTTAGGGAGGTTTAGGGTATTGGGTTTAGGGTTTAGGGCATATCTAATACAGTTCTTGTGGTGTTTCAGGGTTCCGGGTTTAGGGTTGAGCTCGTCAAAGCCTGAACCCGCGAATTCCGAATTGCCTGAATACTTAGCAGGCTAGACTTCACAGCGAAACTCCAGATCGGAACATGAATCACGGCAGCTTAACAAACCAAATGACATGTCAGCCGCTTCTTGCTATCATGATGAACTCCTTTAAACAGACATGTTTGTTTAGGCTGCAAGTAAAAGCGGGCAGCACAAGACTACAAAGTCTAAGCACTCGAGGCTCGAGACCAGAATCCCTTATTCTCTCTAATTCCTTCGAAACGCAAGCCCCGAAACACATCCCCTACACCCTCGCTACACCTTTGGGAGACATTTGAACTTCAGTTGTGGTCCTGTAGATGTACTTACATCTAAATAGTCGGGGCCCCAAAACTACACCCCCAGTTCCTAAAAACCTACGGCCCGGCAACCCCAGAGCTTTGGAGGAGAGCGCTTGAATTTGATTCTCTGGAACCACTCCTCTGAATTTCGCCAAAGCCGCGACTACCGGAACCCACCGCATCGAGGATGCAAACAATTATGAGGGGTTGTAGTGAGGGTTTTGGGCGTGTGGTTTTTTTAGAATCTGGGGGCTGTTTGTGTTGTTTGGGGTATTGGCTGTTTGTTTTGGGTTGCTGGTTTGCGATTCGTCGCGGATCAAACTTGCAGGTGGTTATAAATAATGGATCGGCAAGGCTGGCATGCTGTTGCTGTTGCTGTTGTTGTTGTTCTTCTTCTTGTTCGTGGCCAGCAGTTTCCCAGACCAGGGAAATCCAACCACATTCCGCCTTAAGCTCTCGAGGGGTGTTCCGAAGATATCCCGAAAGCCTCAACATCCTAAAGCCCTTGAGTCCTCAAGCTCCGAAATCCTCGAAGCGGCTCTGAGTTCAAGCGGTTCTAATTTTGAATCCCCCCGAAAGGTATGCCAGAGAAGGATCCGCGCCGGATCCAGTTTGCCTAAGTTACACGCATGACCGGGACTTCGGCGCCTACAAGGACTACTGAGTCTGAGGGCTTCGAGTACCGAAAGGGTATAGGGCCGTATAGGGTTTAGTGGCCGAATGCTAAACGTACCTAGAGCCTGATTCCGACGTATACGTCGGGGCTGATCCTTTTTGGCTTTCACTTCCGGAAAGAAAGTGGGAAACAGGGACTTCCAGGTCTTAGAGCTCAGGTCCTTGGCCGAACTGGGAAGCTTCCAGCAGAAAGATGATAATGATGTGCTGAACCTTCAACCGCAAAAGCTTAGTCGCGCCTGAATAGCTAGTGCTAGTCTTCCATAAAACTTCCCTAGAACTTGCCAAAGTATGGTTCATGCGTCTAAACTACATCCGAAACGTCATGATGACCTCAAGTCCCCAGAGACTCCAATATATCCCTTAATTAAGGAATATTCCTTAAATCATATTAGGGATCCTAATATAATTTAAGGTATATTCTTTATAGGGATATTGGAGTCTCTGGGTCAAGGACTATCCGTCCGGTCGCGAACACTTCCGCGGCCGTGGATGGTGCCCGCCCCCTGCCGCTGAGCCTCGGCAGAAGAGATCCGGGAAGTCGGAGCAGAGGTAGGGGTGCACTAATCAGAGGGTATTACTGAGAATCATATCTTCTTTTATCAAGCTCATGATTCATGATAGCGCGATGCCAGCTTTGGAAATCTTGGGATGCAGTTTCTGCATTAGCTTGAAGATGGGTTTGCAATGCATTCAAATAGGTTGGACATCTCGGTTGGGAACTCGCGTGCTGGGCTCCGCTTTGGCCACTCTGGCCAGACTCCAATGTTTGCCGGATGACCACCCAGCAGCTGTCATGTTGCATGCTGCTTCCGAAGTAACTTTTCAAACATGGGTTTCGGTGATTCACCAGCACATACAGCCTTTGCAATGTTTCGGCTGGATTTTGCCCATTTCAGACCATCCAGCCTTTGCCCCGTTGGTGAGGGACGCGAAGACTGACCCTGCCTTTCGAAGGCAACTGGTCAAACAGTACAGGAAACAGGTAGTCGCACCAATCCTATCGGCTTATGATGAGCACTATCGTCGTGGACTGCTTCGGGCACACTGTGAAGGTTTTGCTCTTAGTTTTGAACAAGTACCTGTCAAAACCGGAGCTCTCCCTTGGACGCTCGCGTTGGTGGACCTGGGGCTGCACACTCTCCGCTTGGTGCGCACTTGGTTGTGGGTTCGTTGTTCGGGTCGCTGGCCACCCTCACAAGTGACGCCCACTGGCCCCACCTTGCGGGATTTTTGCCCTTGGTGCGGTGGTGCGCTGGTATCGGTTTCACACGCTCTGTGCGAATGCAGTGGAACCCGTCACGGAAGAAAGGCCTTGCTGGCCTTCTACGTCCTTGCAGTTCCTCTTCGATCTGAATGCTGACGTTGGAACTCTCCAGGCATGTATTTATTACGTGAATGAGGTGCTCGTCAACGTCCCAAGAACAGAGGCCGAAGGCTTGTGAAAGACCAAGTCCTTACGTGCCGCTTGTTCTGTCGCTTCTTCACAGCCGTGCGGGAGCGCTCAAAGACCGAAATGAGATGAAATGAAATCAAAGCCGTTTTTGTGTTTGGGGTCCATTGGACTTACACTAGGCCTGAATCACTGGTATCGTGAAGTGAATTGTCCTTCGAGTTCCCTAGGCTAAGATATTCATGACATGGGTACACAAAAACTCGGTTTTACTAGCAGGTGGGCAGAGACGATTCGTTCAACACCCCAGGGTACTGTACCACCCTTTCAATGCCCTATAAACTCCTGCAAATAAATCCCGTAACGGACCCAAGGAATATCCTATAGAATCCCAGGATTCTGTGACACCCCGACAAAATCCTGGTACAGAAACTTTCAGGCACCCAAGAAATATCCTATAAAACCCTAGCACTCTGTGACAGCCCAACATTTTCCTGGAACTCTCAGGCACCCGAGGAATACCCGATAAATCCCAAGGAATATCCCTTTAAAATTCAAGAATATCCTATCAACACCTAAGGAATATCCTAGGACCCAAGAAATTTCACATAAAACCCAAAGGAATATCCCATAATACCCTAAGGCATGTCCCATAAATCCCTAAGGAATATCCCATAAATCCCAAGGAATATCACCTAAAATTCAGTTATATCCTAAATTATAGGTGCCGTATTATAGTGGGGACCCAAAGAGGTACCATAATTTCGGCAACCACCCATAAGAACCCAAGGAATATCCCGGCTTCAAGACGGAGTTTCGCTTCCGCTCGCCTGAGTCGGGACCCGGCCCTGCAAAGCTCTGAGGGTTGGCAAAGTCACCAACCTGGCGTCGTGGGTTTAGGGATTCGAAGTTCTGGGATTAGGGATTAAGGCTCAGGGTTGAGGGTTTCGGGGTTAAGGGTTTAGGGATTAAGGTGGAGGTTTTTTATGGGAGTTTCGGGGTGTAGGGTTTAAGGCTCAGGGTTTAGGGCATCGGGTTGAAGGTTTAGGGCTAAGGCTTCGGGTTTGAGGGTTCAGGGTTGCAGGTTTAGGATCTAGGGCTTAGGGTATTAGGACTTCAAGGTTTGGGGTTGAGGGTTTCCGGGTTTGGAGTTCAAGGATTAAGGTCAAGCAGTCAAGGGTTTTGGGTTCAGAGTTTACAAGGGTTTCAGCATTTGGAAGGGTTGATTACTCGTGTTTTGCACAGTTTTTCTTGCTAACAGGCGTGCAGAAGGTTCTTTTAGAGGGTGTTGTCGGCTATGAACAATGTACGTTCAGGTTGAGGCCAGAGAGCCAGCTTCGTTGCGAGCTCTCGCAGCATGTCGCATCTCAGCGAGAGTAGCTAAGTAAAAGGGATTACTGCTGCTGGTTTAAATTTAGATTGTCGGGTGTAGGGGTGTATTATTGAGGGGCGACTGTAGAGTTCCAGAACATTGGCCTTTCTGGCAAAAGGTGGCGTCGAGTTTCAATGCTCTGCATCGCGCTGGCGCCGCCAACAAAAAGATACAATTCTGACCCGTGTGTCTGAACCTGAAACTTGAACTGCTAGCTAAGCCCTACCCTGAATCCTTCGACGAATCAACAACTACTAGCAGTTTACAGCAGTTTGTACTTTTGATTAAAGCAGCATCCTTTCCTTGAGGACCTTAATCTCCAGGGCCCCCTTATAACCCGGAGAGTGGAATTTCTAGTCAGGGCTCGACGCTACTCCATTTCACACCCTAACCGATCAGCCATCAGTCCGTGACGAGTTCTTCTGTTTATGGAGATGCTAGTAACCAAGGCCCTACTACATATAATCTAAGCTTGAGCCCTGAACCCCAGAACCTAGATTCAGCAATCGAAACCCTACCCAACCGTAAGCTTTTCAGCCGGATATCCTCATTGTACCAGCTTACTCAAAGAGGGTTTCAGTGGAGGTATACCGCCCACATGCTCCCCATGTGCTCCCTACACCCGATGACACTAGATTGCATCAGCCCTACACGAGGCAAACTCTACTGCCACAGAACTAGCTCGCCTTCATGAAGAAGAGGTCCCTGAAACATCCTAGACCTTACACTCGAACTCTGGACCCAAAGCCCCAAACCGGCCTTGTCCTTTTTGGGGAAATTGACAGGGCCCTTTACCCTAGTCCCTTAGTAAGAAGCCCTTAAAAAAGGTACCTTAGCCGATCTGTCTATTCTTTATTAGGGGACCATAACAAAGGACAACAGTGCCCCAAACAACGGAGAATCCTAATCAATGACCTTCCTTTCTCTCAGGACCTGCGCACGAGTATAGAATACCTACGGTAGGTAATCCTTATTAAGCCAGGTAGAGCTACTAGGCAAGGGCAAGGGTTTACACTAAGACCCCAAGAAAACCCTGGCTTAAGCCCTTACGAAGTCATTGTGAAACCGATAGAACAGTGTCTGATCTACTAAACATGAGTCTACGTGACAGTTAGATATTCTGCCGTGGAGGCATGGCACGTCTAGCGCATACGCCAGACGTTCGGCATCCAGATCATTTGGCCCGACCCTCATGGGCGTATAGGAGTTCTTAATTGAGTGGTTGAGGGCTCTGTGTTCAGGTGTTGAGGGTTTGATACGCGTCCGGACGGCAAGCAACAGTTGTCGGAGAACCTCCACTTTCTGCGTGCCCTCAACGGCCCTATATCACAAGAATGTACCCGAATCCTAGTTCTACTAATTTCAGGCGTGTGGGTCGGTCGACCAGATAAAGCTTGAACTTGTGTGGTCGTGCTTATCGAAGGAAAGGGCATTGAACGTAACCAATCAAGGTTAAAGTATGTCTGGGGCTGTGTTCTTTGGAGTTCAGAAGCACGTCTCGACCTGATAAACCCTGCAATTTGAAAGCCTGAGGCCCAAATCCAAGTGCATGATCCTCTTAGCAGTCACAATTCAAGCCGACGTCAGGTTCAGGAGGTATCATAAGGGTCGGACATGTTTGTGAGGCCCCCACGTATCTGGAAATAGGATTGTTTATGCTGGCCCTCCCTCTATTCAGCACTAGTATTGGTCCTTGAATGATGTTCCAACAGTGGCTCCAGTAAGGGTAACTTCGGAAGTTCTGGTGAAGGTGTATCCACGAGAAACCCTATACACCGAGAAACTCCGCACCCAACGACCCGGATCCCGGCCGATAAAGGGGTGTTCTCTAAATTAGGCTTCGTTTTAGGGTCCGTGATTTTCAACGAGTGCCGCATTCTCTGGGTGGGGTTGATAGAAAGGGCCCTTAACATAAATAACTACCCGCATGTATTCATCGGAATCCTAAGACCCTTAGCGAAAGCGATTCCGCTCATGAGCTTTCGAACCTGGGACCCTTCAAATCGAAAAAGTAACTCCCCTAAGTCGTACGCCCTCATTCCAAAACCTAACCCTAGAAACCCTGCATCCTGAATCAACCCTAATCCCTTAAACCGTAAACCCTTCAGCCCTTCAACCCTTAAACCCTAGATAATTAACACCCTTAAACCCTAAACCCCAAACCCCTAAACTTTAAATCCCTAAACCCTAAACCCTTGTGTTGCTCTGAGGCGGAAATCTGGGAGGAGGTGGCTCGAAGGCCCAGTGATTCTTTTGTTTTTTGTGTAAGATGTGTTCAGGTTTTTCCGTGATCACGTGTTTCTGTCTGACGGTTTGGCAAGATCATGGGCTCTTTGGGATGTCAGGGTCTGCCGACCCGCTACAGAAACTTACAGAACCTTTGTTGTCAATGCCGCATAGAACCCTGATAATTCACGAGTAGAGCTTGTGCAGGTAGGGTTTTCGAGGCCATTATACATATATATATATATATATATACACGTAATTCTGCATTTCTTTATGGTTGTTTGTTGCTTTTTATTTGATGATAGATTTGCTTCGTGTTTTTTGTGTATTCAGGGTTTTGCTCAGACGTGTCTGTGTAAGCAGATTTGAACAGGCCTGCCTCGGTCGCCGAAGTCCGCAGCCGCTTGGAGGCCCGATGGACTTTCAGGGCTCATGGGTTTAGAGTTTTAAACCCTGTAATTCCTAGGCCGTCAACCTAACTTAAAAGAAACCATAGGGATCAGGGTGCAGAGTTTAGGGTTTCGGATGTAGGGTTTCGGGCTTCGGGTGCAAGGTTTTCGGGGATTCGGATGTGGGGTTTAGGGGTTGGGTCTTAGGGGTTTTAGGGTTTGGGGTTCAGGGGTTTAGGGGTTTTAGGGACCCTTCACGTAGTCGGATTCTTGTCAACAAAGACCGCTAAGCAAGGTACCCGTGATTTTGAAGCCAACCCACTATGATGACGATGTCCACTGGCGGTGCTATGTTTCACTATCTCTAGTGGGTCGATCTGGGTGTGTCGAGATACTGTCATGGTGTGCCCTTTTGATGCTCACACGGTTTAATGCCTTGGGAGTGCTTGGAGGTTTATCAGGAGCCAAAGAAGCACCCAAACATAAACTTTCGGGTGGGATATCCCTATCTTGTTGGCTTTATCAAAGAGGGGATTCTGGGATATCCCAACCATATGCTTTTTGTTTATGTCCTTTTCTGGGTCCCTAGTTTAGTGCATCTAGGGAAAACGTAATACCATGATGAATGAAATCGCTGTATTTGCAACCCACCTACCACCTGGAAATCTCGGAAACCCCGCTCATGGGCTGCGAAGTCGGTTGGGGTCAGAAGTGCCGCTATGAACAGGGGCGGAACGTCGGAATGGTTGAGGGTTTCAAGCTGTCCAGGCATTGCAGGGTTTTCAGGGCTGTGATACAGGGTTAGGCGAAACAAAACCCTTCTATACTGGTGCTTGTCAAGAATTATGGTCCCTTTGTGGGCACCCTGAATTGTAGGTGCCGTACCATAACAGGGGCCCAAGAACGGACCATAATTTTGACAACCAGTCATATGTTCTTACACTGGTATGGTTTTCTAGGGTTGCGATTGGGTTTGGCTCATCCTTTCCTGGCAGGCTCCTCGTCCAGCCTCGCAGCAGGCAGCGACTTGGCAAGCTCTAAGGAAGCTGACAGCGGAACCCAGAACCCTAAACCCTAATTTTCGCATCCTAAAGGGTCTAAGTGGATCCAGAGCACTAAACCCTAAATCCTATATACAGCCAATAACTATAAACCTTAAGCTCTACAGGATTTGGGCATATCACTGCCTGGACACCTCACAATTGCGATTGTCGGCCTTGAATTCAGGTGAGTCCTATGTTTGGGTTTCCTACGTCAACATGTCGTGGTGGTGGCGGCGGGGGTTGTGGTGGTGGTGGCGGTGTTGTTGTTGTTGTTGTTGTTGTTGTTGTTGTTGTTGTTGTTGTTGTTGGTGGTGGTGGTGGTGGTGGTGGTGGTGGTGGTGGTGGTGGTACTTCACCCGTAATCCTGGAAGCGGACCTGTTTGGGAAAAGCATGGTTGCATTGTGCTGGAAAGGCGCTTTGAGTTTCTATGTCTCTACCTTATGTTGCAAATCCGAGCACACTGCCGAAATCAGGTTGCTGAAGGGCCTCAGAGTTCAGGCGTTTATGTGGAATTCCTCTAGTACCCTTATCGAAACCCTATAGAAAACCTTATAGATCCCTTCAAGAGATCCCCGATAAGGAAGCCTAAAGGGGTGTCTGGCAAAAAGGCCATCCGCGTCGAGCGAGTGAAGGCTTCGAAGCCTCCAACGTCGGTAGTTTCCCCGGCCTCTGACCCTAAGGGTCCATGTACCCATATAGAGTTACATGAGCCCCAATGTACCTATATAGGGACTACATTAAGGCCAATGTATATACTATATGAGTACATGGACCCTTAGGGTGAGTTTGAGGGATGGAGGATCGGAAGAAACCCCTACGTCAATGTAGGTTGCCCAAACTGCATATTCTCATCATTCGGGCCGCTGTGATGTAGAGCAGTCTTCGGCGGGGTTTCCGAGGTTGTTGACTTTTGCTTCTTGGCTTTCGAGTTTAGAGAAGGAGGTATATGTGCTGGGAGTTGGGGGGATGATGTGGCTTTGGCGGGCTCAGGGTTTAGGGCCAGGCTCCCTACCCCGCCAAACTGCTCCACAGCTGGTCTCTTATGGTACTCAAAGGACGGTTACTTCCTCCGAAATGCGGGTAACAAAATCGACTATTAGCAATACTGTTCCTTGGCGCAAAAAGTGTTTAGGGTAAGGGCTTCAGGGCTTGGGGAGTTTGAATTTGAGGATGTGTGAGGGTTCAAGGGTTCTGAACGTGTTGGGTTCAGGGTATAGGGGTCGTAGTCAATGTCAAATCGTTGAATTGGCCCGCTTTGCAAAGTTGGTTTATATAGTAAAATAGACATTCTCCAGGTCCTGGTCATGAAAGTAGAGTGCGGAGACTCTTGAACAGGCGCCTCAAACCTAAACCCCAAAGCTCAACCCTAAACCCTGAACCTCCACCGAAACCCCTAAACCCGGGACGCCCTACACCCTATCATAAATCCTAGAGGACCTGAGCCCTAAACCAAAAGCGAGCGATCGAAACTTCAAGCTGGAGCCTAAGGCGGATTGGCCGAACGAGTCGGTCGACGTCGGAGCCATCTGGGAGGTGGTGAACTGAAGCATAGCCTCAGAGTGTAGGATTTCAGATTTCGTGCAGGTTCAGGGTCTTGCAGTTTGGGGTTTATGGTCTACTGTAGGCTCAACGGATGTAACAAGTGGGTTACAAGTGCAGTTGTCTTTTTGCTGTCTTACGCTGACAAACTTATCGCTACCTGACCTGCCATGTCACAATGTCTCATGTTCCTGCAATGAAAGCCCATGAATGTCTGTACTTACTTAGCCAATGGGAGAACTTTAAACTTTTTGGCCTTATATATCTAATCTACCTCAGAAAGTTTGAACTTTTTTTGGCCCTGGTTAAAGAAGAACAGAGTGTAAGTCCCGAAAAGCAGTGGCTCCTTCACCCTTGAGCCCTTCGGTAAAGCTTCGGAGTTCTCGAGTACATAGAGCAGCCTGAGGCCATGACCGTAGTTTTTTTTTTCAGGGCTCGAGGCATAAGGGGCATTTCAGGAAAGTGTAAGATAAGCCCAGTAGTCCGAGTCGCTGAACTCTAGCCCGAAATCCTCGAACCTAGGATCTCAATCTTGATACAGCCTTGAAAGCCTAGGACGTTGAACCCAGCCCAGCCTGCCTCAGCTGTTGCCTTAAGCCCAAGTGCTGATGAGTGCATGGGAACCGGGAGAGCCTGGTCGAAGTCTCGGGGTTTATACTCCTGGATGTCAAGCGTTGAATGCCAGACATCTAAACCCTATATAAAGTTCCGAAAGCCTTCGTCCCTGAATTTCCAAACTCCTGAACCCCGAGCCCGTAAACCCACAAGCCTGATCATCGAAATCCCAAAATAAAAGCCGATCCACCCAACAGCCTCAACCCCTGAATCCTGCAACCCTGAACCTTGCACGGATTCGTGTCACCGAGTGAGAAGACAAGACTGCTGGCCGCAGCAGAAAGGTGGGTCAAGCACGGGGTCGGAGCTATGCCATGTTTTGTGCTCGGTGTTCAAGCTTGAAGGCATTTGGTTTTGACTTGTCGTAGAACGAGACTGTTCCGCCCGATATTGACCAGTAAGAGAAGGACCCTTTTGCTCGAAGCAGTCCCAACAGCACGACCGAATGAAGACTTAACGTGGTGTATATGAACTTAGTTCGAATTCTACGGTTTGGGCCTGCGCAACCCTGTACTTAAAGGCCAACAGCCCGAACCCCATGCTCTAGACCAAGAAGCCTAGAGTCCGTTAGACCCCAAAGTCCAAAACCCTACGAAATAAGTTAGAAGCTGCCCCCACCCTGTAATAGTGGTATAATAGAATATAATAGGGGCCCAATATAATCCTTATAGTCACAATTACAGGGTGGGGGCGGCTGCTAACTTATAACCTTAAACCCCTATAGGGTTTAGGGTTTAAGGGTTTAGGGTTTAGCGTCTAACCCGAAACCCCCAAACCTTTCAAGCGCGCACTAACTTTTATTTTGCCGTGCAGTTCAACCCCAGGTTTGCTCCGCAGTCAGGTTACTGCACATCACACATATCAAGCGATACAACCACAACCGAATCAAGGCTCAGCTCGAAGCCCATTTAGGCCAGGGCATATTATGCAAATCAACAAAAGCCCATGAACAGAAAGCTTTTTCGATTGGACCATGTACCATGGGAATGGTAAGATACTTGTTTCTTGCTTTAAGCCATAAAGGTGTGTAGTAACGCAGCAATTTGCAAGCTATCTGAAACTTTCTGGGGCACGCTGCTGTCAGGGTGCCCTGTACTTGTTTCTGGCGCCCTACATGTCGGTTACTGTGGAAGTCGGACTGCTGAGCGGAAAGTCGGTCAGAGTGCAAGCAGGCTTGGATGAGACTGTGGAAGCACTGAAAAACCGGGCACAGATGGCACTCGGAGTGGGGAAAGGGCGCCTGTTAGACTCATATGGAGGCATATTGGATGTCTGCACGCCGGTCAAGACTGCCAGGCTACAGAATGGCGACTCGCTGACCCTGCACATAAACAGGGTTCAAGTTCAAGCCGCTGGCCACGCTTTTGCTGCCATTCTTGGCGATGGATCTGTTTTGACTTGGGGCGACCGGTTGCGTGGTGGTGACAGTAGCGCAGTTGAGGATCAGCTGAACAATGTGCAGCATATACAAGCCTCTTACCGCGCTTTCTCGGCCATCCTTTTCGATGGATCCGTTGTGACCTGGGGCAATGCTGCCGATGGCGGTGACAGCAGTAGTGTGCAGGATCAGCTGAAGAGTGTACAGCAGATACAAGCCTCTGGTAAGGCCTTTGCTGCCATTCTCCAAGATAGATCCGTTGTGACCTGGGGTAATGCTACTAATGGTGGTGACAGCGGTGCTGTGCAGCATGCGTTGAAGAACGTGCAGCAGATTCAGGCCTCTGATGGTGCTTTTGCTGCAATTCTTAATGATGGATCCGTTGTCACCTGGGGGAATTCTGGCGACGGTGGTGATAGTAGTGCTGTGCAAGATCAGCTCAAGACCGTGCAACAGATTCAGGCCTCTTTCTGCGCTTTCGCTGCCATTCTTGGCGATGGCTCCGTCGTGACTTGGGGTGCTGCTGGCTCTGGTGGAAACAGTCGTGCTGTGCAGGAACATCTGAGGGATGTGCGGCAAATACAAGCCTCTGTCGACGCTTTTGCTGCCATTCGCGGCGATGGCTCCGTTGTGACCTGGGGTGCTGCTGGCTCTGGTGGTGACAGTCGCGCTGTGCATGAGCAGCTGACGAGTGTGCAGCATGTCCAAGCCTCTGACGATGCCTTCGCTGCCATTCTTGGCGATGGATCTGTTGTGACTTGGGGCGACCGGTTGCGTGGTGGTGACAGTCGCGCTGTTGAGGATCAGCTGCAGAATGTGCAGCAGATTCAAGCCTCTGCCGGTGCTTTTGCAGCCGTTGTTGGCGATGGATCCATCGTGACCTGGGGCGATGCCGCCTTTGGTGGTGACAGCAGTGCCGTGCGAAATCAACTCACGAATGTGCAGCAGATCCAAGCAACTGACCGCGCTTTCTCGGCCATTCGTGGGGATGGATCCATCGTGACCTGGGGACATGCTGACTCGGGTGGCAATAGTGGTTCTGTGCGGGAGCAGTTGGTGGCTCCGTAGCAGCTCCAATACAGGGGCCTTCGTAATTAGAATGGGGTTTGGGGGTCTAATATACCATGATTAGAATAAGGAACCCCCAAAATAGTATTGATAATTCTTTAGGCCCCTGTATTGCCTGACGCTTCAGCCGTTGAGCTTCGAGGCCCTTGTCCCCAGACCTTCCAAAACCCCTTAATTAAGGAATATACCTTAAATTATAGTAGGATCCTTAATATGATTTAAGGTATATTCCTTAATTAAGAGGTTTTGGAAGGTCTGGGTCGATCCGAAGGAGCTCCTGACTTGGGAGACTTTCTTGGTCAAATGGGAAAGTACACAGTTCGTCCCATCTTCGGGAGTCTCCGTCTTGCTTTGTAGGCTTAGATATAGGTGGAAACAGTCCCTACTGCATCGTTCTGAGAAGGGTGGGATTCTGATGTTATAGAAGACTGACTAGTTGTTTTAGTAAATAAACATGCCTTGTGCCTCTTACGGAAAAGAAGCATCATTTCTGTGCCTGCGCAGTGCCTGGCTTTACTTCTTCTTACTATGCCATCCGTCGAAGCTGGAGTAGACAGCGCGGACGGCGGAATAGCGTTCATGCAAAAAGCACACTAGCCAAAGCCCTATAGACTTCAAACCCTCCCGCCCTAAGCCCGCCGGCTTCAATCAAAAAGCTCCCCACCAGGGACACAAAGATGCTACAACATACACTATATTTACTATGACATACTACAATCGGGGTCCAGATATTCTGAATGCGTCCCGGTGGCTCTACGTTGATCTAAGACGGGGCAACTTCCTGGATTTTTTGTGGTCGTGTTGGCCTCCTCGGAGTGCTTGCAATGGTGTTCCCTTACAGTGGTAATCCGGATTCCCTTATCCCTATATACTCGATGGGTATGTTGCACCTGCCGCCCTTCAATCCTAAACCTAAACCCTAAACTCAAAGAATTACCAAAACCCCTGTATGAGCACAGCTGAGAACTGATGACATATGACATCACAGAGATTTAGGGGCTTGGAAGTTTGGGGTTCAGGGGCTTAAGGTTTAGGGTCTAGGTTTAAGCTAAATTACATGAGCACCGAAATCCTAAACGCCTCAACCACAGAGCTCTCAACCCTAACCCCGTCAGCACTAGCAAGCAGAACTCATTCTAGAGATAGCCCCACCGACCCCAAACCCTCAACCTTAGGCTATAAGCTTAGATGAACTGATGAACTGTGGCATCTCTGAGTACCTGCGCAAGTCCGTTTCCATACCCAGATCCTTCGGCTTATCTAACTGGGTCGCCCTTAGCAGAACGCAGACTAGCATCTGGGCCCCTAATCTCAGGCCCCTAAGCCTTGCAGCCAAGTCCCAACGCCAGAGCGTCCTTAAAACCCGTCTTCACAACACTACAAAATCCAATTTCCACTTAAAAAGGGTCCTCAGGTGCCTGAACCAACCCGGAGCCACCGAATCTCTGAAAACCCGGAACCCCTAAAACCTCAGATGAGCAGAAACCCAAGGATGACTCCCACATGACACCCGCATCGCACGGCCTTCGATCGGCCTTCCTGATAAGCACCAAGAGCAACTTAGAGGGTCTCGGGTTTTGGCTTCAGGTGTGGTTTAGGGGTTTAGGGCTTAGGGGTGTAGGCTTAGGAATTAGAGTAGATCCGATCGGAATTGGGCTCGGGCCAGGGGCTTTGATGAGGCAGACTTGAGAACATTTGGGAACTTCAAGGAATCGCACCAGAAAAACTTGAACCTCTTTCAGCCATATAGGATGTGCCTTAGTGAGTTTCTGCATTCGCTGGATTAGGGTTGAAACGGGACGAGGCCAATTCCGCCGTGCATCATTGATGTCGATAACCATCGAAGTTGGACTGCTGAGTGGGAAGACGGCTACGTTGCAAGCTGGTTTGGATGAAACTGTGGAGACCTTGAAGGGACGGGCGCAGATGGCACTCGGAGTGGGGA